GCCGGCGGGGCGCCGCCCTGCCACAGCGGCGCCGCAGCCAGCACCCTGTACAGGTCGCCCCACGCCAGCGCCCCCCCAGCCGCGGCGTCGCACACCGCCGCCGCCGCCTCCTCGAGCCACTTCCTGTGCGCCTTCCCGCCGCCCCCCGCCGCCAGCGCCCACGCCGCACGCGCGAGGGCGCCGGGCGGCAGTGCCCCCGCACGCAGCCGGCCCTGCGTCTTTATCACCAGCGCGTTAGCGAGCGCGTCTGGCGGCGTGCGGCGGGCGGCGGCGAGCGCAAATACGGCATCGGCGAGCTGGTGGGCGGGCGCGGCCACGGCGTCTGGGCCGGAGGCCTGCAAGGGAGTGCGAGTATGCATTGTGAGGAGAAGAAAAGGACAGGTTTCGGCGGCGAGGGTGACGTCATCGCGTGCTGGTTGGACCAAGGGTTGGGTCTGTCCAATCCAAGTCTATTGGCAGTCCCCCGCGCGCTCTCTGATAACGGGCCCCTCGGCTGGAAAGAGCGCCATCCTTCGGCGCTGCCCGATAAGCGCGATGGATCCGCCTCGGCCAGACGCAACACCGCCGCCCACCCGTGCGGCGAGCGCCTCGCCCCAGCGCCCCGCCTCCAGCGGCGCCCCCAGCCGCGCGAGCGCCGCCGCCACCGCCGACGCGTCCCCGAACCCGCCGCCGCGCACCCACGCGCCCGCCCCCTCCGCCGCCTGCGCCAGCCACTCGCCCAGACCCTCCTCGCGGCCGCCGCAGTCCGCCACGTCAGCCAGCGCCGCGAGCACGACCGCTGCAATAGCCGCAGCGCGCGGCGGCAGCGGCCGCTCCGAGGGCCTGGGGTCGAGCAGCTCCTGTGACAGCGCGCTCTGCAAGACACCGCACCACAGTACTGGCGCGGCGCCGGCCCGCATGAGCGCGGCCGCGGCCGCCGCGGCCGCCTCGGCGCCGGCCGTCTCAGTGGCGATCACGGCTTTGAAGGAGAGGGTGGTCAGCAGGCCGGCGTCGAGCGCCAGCCGCAGGTCGGCCGCGGCGGCCGCGAGGGCGGTGGTCTGGCCGAGCGACAGGGCGTGCCGGAGGGAGGGGCGGGCGGCGAGGGCGGAGAGGAGGGCGCCGGACCAGGCCGGGTCGGGGCGGGCGCCGATCGCGGCTGCGGGGACGGCGGAGGAGGGGGGAGG